TGTAGTTAGTTGACCATGGTTTGAGTCCCGGACCCTGTGGCTTAAACTCACGCCGGGCGCATGTGCGTTCGTGCCCAAGATCTCGAGAGGAGAATGGAGGAGAAGGGATTGCTGCGTGGCCATCGCCCCTGGGGGGTGATTTCTCACTTTCTGTCTCTCTGTCTTTCTGGCAAGTGCATGCGCTCTACAGCAAAAACCTCTCCAAAAAACTGCAAAGACTATAAATACCAAATCACTGATTTTACTGTCTTCATTTTTAAACCCCTTTCCAATTTTGTTTTGCTTTTGCTTTCTTGAGGACTTATTTATGCACAGTACAGTACAGTATTATGCACAGTACAGTCTTAGCTCCAGGTCACCAACTGGCCTTGCAGTGCTATTTTTAATAGTAAAAGTTTTAAAGTAAAAGGAATGCTTTACAGTTGTATTAAATAAATTATATCCATCTGAAAAGACACTACACAACTCAGATTCTGTGTACTAGAGAGTAGTCTGTTACTCTGAATGACCAATTAGGAATTCCTTATATTCTGACAGTTTGGTCCCCAAATGTACATCTGTCATCCATCTTGAGTCATATCTTTTTAAATTAGTAAGTGCTATTTCCAGTTTTTTTTTTTTAAGAGGTTTTTGCTATAGGGCGCGTGCGCTCGCCAGACAGACAGACAGAGACAGAGAGACAGAAAGTAAGAAATCTGCCCCCAGGGGAGCAGGGGAGATGGTCACGCCGCAATCCCTTCTCTGTTCTCCTCTTGGGGTCTTGGGCACACATGCACATGCGCCTGGCGTGAGTTTTAAGCTACCTGGTCCGGGACGCGAACCGCGGTCGACTACATGGGAGTCCAGCGACACAGCCATTATGCTAACTGCTGGTCCCCTATTTCCAGTTTTTTTTATTAATAAAAAATTATTAGTCTGTTGTTTAGCTTCCTACCTAATGTAGGAATCTTTACTTTTTCAAAAACATCAAATTATTATTTTATGGGATGAAATTTGGCCTTTCCAATACTGTCCTGGGCCAATTGTACTTTGTCCTAGAATAAATTATTATTATTTTACCATATTTAAAAGCTTTAATATGAATGTAAAGGAACATAATGGATAAAAGTAGTAATTTATAATGCTGTCAGCTTATACTGAAACACATAACTCAGGTTTGTTCTAATAATCTCTGCCTGCTGCCAAACCTTAAAAAAAAAAAAGCCTAACTAAGGTAGTATGGAAACTAAGCAGTTTATGTCAAATCAGAACCATTAGAGGTGAAACTTTACAGTCATATTAACAATCATGAAGTGTGGCTTCTAATAAATCCATATAATAAAATGGGATGACTTTGCTAAAACTTAATCTGATAGTATTGTTTTGGTTGGCCTGGATTTTAAAAAACACTTTGGCAGTGACAGAAGGAGGGAAGAAAGGGTCATTGAAAGCCCGGATTGTGAATTGTAGTGGGTTGTGGTCCTTGGAATAATGGGTGGGGCAGAGGGAGCAGTAGTGAAAGTGCAGGACTGGTCCGTCCAAGACGCTGGTTGAGGAAGGAACGAGATGGACGCCATCATACAGCGAGGGAAAAGACGATCGGGGTTCAGGTTCCTCAGCTGCATAGATTTCGCCAGTGCGCAGCTTGTGGGGAAGGACCAGAAGAGAGAGGGAGACTGGAGGGAGGGACCAGGAACCAATAGTTCACTTTGGGGAGCTTTCCTCCAGGAGGAAGGTGGCGAAGATACCGAACTCATTTCTGTCAGGATGAAAGGGAGAAAGGTACAGCAGTTTATGTGCTGTGATATTTTTTTCTCAGAGTTAAGGACTGTAGTTATTTGCAAAAAAAGAATGGTGAAGATAAAACTGAGCACTTAGGAACAACAACTCTGGAGCAAGGAAAAGAGAACCAATTAGGAGTGAATAAAGATCACTACAATAATAATCATTGAAATGAGAAGTCCTGTGTTTACGGGCCGATCCCATGACCTTGTGGTTAGACACTGGGTCCCACGTGGCCAACCCGCAGTCCCGGACCAGGCAGCTTGAAAAACATACAGGACAAGTGTGCATTCATGCATGTGCATGCATACATGTGTGTCCAAAATCCCAGCAGGGTGGAGAAACGGAGAAGGGATTGCAGCATGACCATTTCCTGTGGGGGAAAGGTACTTCTCTTTCTCTCCTTATCTCTTAGTCTCTGGTGAGTGCATATACCCTCTGTCAAAATTTTTTGAAAAAAGAAAAGTAATATAATAGTATGTGATACTTCCTCAGTAGCTGCAGGCAGTGGTAACTGAAGTGAAGAAAGTAAACAGTTTAATTGAGTCGAGATTGTCAAGGTGCTCTCCAGAGAGGATGAAGGGTCTTTGTGGAGGATGGTTAAAATGATTGTTGTGGATTCTGGCAGAGAAGGGAGGAGATGGAGTTACAGGGAGTCACAGTGGAGTAGGAAGCAGTAAGTTACAGCCGGAACTCAACAGCAAAATTTGGATGGGAGAAATGAAATGATTGGTGGTGGTGGCAGAAGAATTTACATTTCCAATTCAGCTATACAGTCCCAAGTAATGACAGTATCTGGGGTACAGTTGTCCTGTTTTGAGGGTTCTGCATCTGCAGATTAAGCCAATCATGGATCACAAAAGAAATGAAACAACAAAAATAACAAAACAATGAAATATAATACAACATTTAGAAAAGGAGTACAGTGTAACAACTACTTATGTCGCATTTACAGTAGGTATTCTAAGTAATCTAGAGGTGATCTAAAGTGTGGGAAGTTTACTTACAGATTTGTACCCTTTTTAAAAAGTTTATGATAGATTGAGCATGAAAGAGAGAGAAAGAGAGAGAGAGAAGGAGAGAGGAGCCAGCCTGCCAGCATCTTGGGCATATATTCTGACTGCATCACAGAGGCTGGGCTCCAGGCCTTTTGTTGGGGGAGAGGTTTTTGCTATAGGGTGCATGCACTCAGCAGAAAGACAGAGACAGAAAGCTAGAAGACTCCCCCCAGGGTGCGATGGCCATGCTGCAGTCCCTTCTCCTCCATTCTCCTCTTGGGATCTTGGGCATGCACACACACGCTTGGTGTGAGTTTAAGCCACTGGGTCCGGGACTTGAACCGTAGTCGACTACAGGGGAGTCCAGCAATATAGCCATTAGGTCAACTGCTGGTCCCGCTCTAGGCCATTTTATGGAAGGGGCTTATTCACAGATTTCCGTATCCTGGGGTGAGGGTCTTAGAACCAACCAGTCCTCCACTAATACTGAAGGTTGACGAAACCACAGTCGAGTGGGCTACTGAATTAGATGGAGGTGAATGTCCTCAGACAGAGAAGGTCAGGAATGAGTTACAGGTGGGGATAGCTAAAGAAAGAGGGGAATTTTAACAAGGTTTATGAATAAAAAGAAGGTACACTTAAGGTTTTTTTTTTTTTTTTTTTTTTAAGTGACATTGTAAGAGGATATCCTGGTAGCAGTTCAGCAGATTAGGGGTTTCAAAAGAAAGTGTTAAAAGGAGATAGGAGGGGGAAGAATCTGTCAGGAAAGGAAAAGTCTGCGTTAGATTCAGGTTAGATTCAGATGAGATTGCACGGTAACGGATCGGAGTGGTTCACACTTCGAGTTACGGCTGTAGACGGTAAGAGTGAGGATATAGTGCAAGGGAAGTATGTGGCATGTAATGAAAGAAGCCTACTTTGAGATTCTCTTTATATGCAGGTGTAAAGTTGCAGTCCCCTTCAAAGCTGTACCAGGTTTATTACATATGCCTTCAGAGTTACCTCAGAGTATATAACAGTACTCAGTAGAATCGGGCGCCCGTCGGGACCCTGAAGTGTCACGTGGAAGGTGCCCAGTGTTTGTGATCGCAGTGAGCTCTCTTCCTCCTCGTGCTGGTAGACTTCTCAGAGGAGCGGCATAGGTTAAGCTCACTCTGTCTTTTATCTTCTGTTCGTATTTGCCATTCTTTGACAATAGTTTACACCTTCTGTCCATTCTACACCCTTGGGGTATTTTCACTGATTCAAGAAAAGGCCTTTAGATCCTAGGAGTCGATGAAGACGTCCGGTATGTTTCTGTTTCCTTCCCCGTCATCCAGGGCACTGACAAACAGGTATTGAGTGAGGCCGAAGACAACTCTTCGTCGCACTTTGTCAATCCTCACTTATTTTTAAAAATTTTTCCTCTCCTTTTTCTCTTTTACTTTCTCTTTCCTACTCTTTTCTATTTATTTTTTATTCTCCATTTATTCTTGTGCATATCAAGGATACCCGCTAGAATTCATAGCCGTTGTTCATCTCTACCATAACAGTCAAGGAAAAGTTCCCTATCTCATCTATTGAAATAATGTATTTTGAAATTTTTTTTTAAAGTATAGGAGGTAATCCCAAATAAATGAACCATTTAGGGGCCAGCAGGTGGCATGGTGGCTAAGGGCACTGGACTCCCACATGGCTGACTGAGATTTAAGTCCTGGACCTGGCAACTTGCTTTCTCACTTTCCCTCTCTCTCTCGCTGTCTCGCTCTGTCTGTCTCTGGTCAAATTAAAATAAATAAATAAAGTCAAATAAAATAATTCTTAAAAAAAATGAACCATTTATTTCTTTGTGAATATATGTAGCTAATCACTTAACATTCAAGCCTCTTAAAATTATACAAAAGTTTCATCTATTAAAAGAATTGCAGGGGCCAGCAGGTGGTGTGGTGGTTAAAGGTGCTGGACTCCACATGGCCGACCAGGGTTCAAGTACTGAATCTGGTGGCTTGCTTTCTAACTTTCCCTTTCTCTCTCTGTCTGTCTGATCAAACTGGAAAGTGACAATAATAATAAATAAAGTTAAATAAAATAATTATTTAAAAAAAGAATTGCATTTTATATTTCATAAGTCATTACAATGATTTTGTCTCAAACCTTCTCTGTATATGAATCTGTGTTTCATTTACTTGATTGAGTTAAATGGGCTACATTTTTTGGTAACAGTTATGTGTAATAACATACTCTTATTTTTTTTAAACATAGATTTGGACTGAGCAACAAATTTGAATCAGAATTCCCTTCTTCATTAACTGGAAAAGTGAGTGCCTCCATTATGCATGTACTCTTTATGCTTCAGAACTAAAGTTTTTTCTTGACAAATTAGGCAAAAGTATCTTATTGAGGCACGTTTATTGACACTAATATAGCAATGTTGTTATTTCTTAAAATTTTTCTTTAGGTAGCTCCTGAAGAATTTAAAGCCAGCATCAACAGAGTCAACAGCTGTCTCAAGAAGAACCTTCCCGTCAACGTGCGCTGGCTGCTCTGCGGCTGCCTCTGCTGCTGCTGCACGCTGGGCTGCAGCATGTGGCCCGTGATCTGCCTCAGTAAAAGAGTAAGTGGGCGACGCTGTGGCTTACTGAGAAGTGGGCAGCGGGTTGTCCATTCCTCTAGTCTTAGTTTTTGTACTGAATGAATCAGACTGTGCTGACTGCTGCTCAAACATAATCTGATCCAGTAGGAAAGTGGTTAAGTAAAGTTATCATATATCCAAATAACCACCTGAAAGTTGTGATTTTTATGACATAGAAACTTACTTAGGAGTGAAGTATGAAACAGCATCGTCTCTGTGCCCCTCGACAGTGGTGTAGTGCATCAATCCAGGGTGCCGGTTCAGCTCTGCCAGAATCTCTGTGACCTCGGGTACATTTCCTACCCTCTGTAGTCCTTTGGTGACAACTGTGTGTGGTAGTATTCATCTGCTACTTGTAGGATGCTGTAAGGATAAAAAGAAATAGTGTTTGTAAAGCTCTTAACTTGGGACCAGCAGATGGCATAATGGCTATGTTGCTGTACTCCCATGTAGTCGATCATGGTTAGAGTCCCAAACCAGGTGGTTTAAACTCATGCCAGGTGCGTTTGTGTGCGTGTATGCCCAAGATCCCAAGAGGAGAACGTAGGAGAAGGGATTGCAGTGTGACCATACCCCCTGGGGGGTGACTTCTTTCTTTTTCTCTCTCTCTTTCTTTCTATCTTTCTGTCTGCCTGTCTGTCTGTCTCTGTCTTTCTGGTGAGCATGTGTGCCCTATGGCAAAACCCTCTCCCCCCCAAAATAAAAAAATAAATAAATAAAAACCAGAAAGAAACAGTGTTTGTGGGACCAGCAGGTGGTTAAGGCAGTGGACACTCCCACATGGCTGACTGCAGTTCAAATATCTGGCGGCTTGCTCTCTCACTTTCTCTCTCTCTCTCTTTCTATCTCTCTCTGGTCAAATTAAAATAAATGAATGAATAAATAAAATTAAATAAATAATTATAAGAAAAGAAATAGTGTTTGTAAAGCTCTTAACTTAGTAGCTCAAAGGAAGTGGTTAATGTTGTAAATAAGTAAGGTAGAACCTATAAGAAGTAAAATGGCAGAGATATAACAAATTAGTATTAATTGAATACATTATATTTTTGTTAAAGTTGTAAAATGGTATTATATAAAAAAAGTTATACTGTTAAAATTGAATGAATGGTTTTGTATGGCTACATTTTCTTTCTTACTAAATAATAGTAGGAAATATGAAAAAGTAAATTCTGTTCTCTGTTGATTTTTTGTTATAAAAGGACATATGGGGACACACAGGTGGAGTGGTGGATAAAGGCGCTGGATTTCCACACGGCCAGCCATGGTTCTAGTCTTGGACGTGACAGCTTGCTTTCTTGCTTTCCCTTTCTCTCTCTGTCTCTGTCTCTTCAGATTAAAAAAAAAATAACAAATGGAATTAAATAATTCTTAAAAAAAAAAGGACATAGATTCTTTTTTTTTTTTTT